GAAGGGGGTTAATAGCACATACATCCATTAACATCAAATAATAATAACAACAAACGAGTCTATTATTTTTTCATTGAAAGGGGAATATAGATATATTCATGGATGGTATCAGCCACTCTCGGCCACGGCAATGCACTTTTCTTGCAATCATCACGTAGCTACTTATTATCGATGAATGCAGAATTTTCTTTTGTAAGAACTTTAGTTTCCCTATTTTACACAAAAATAGGGAAACTTACTTTGACAACTTTTTTATTTTGTTGACATAGTTTCGATAGAGTTTCATTCTGGTTGCTCAATTCCTAGTTAATTTTATTAGTATTGACCCAGATATGGACGAGAGAGAGAGAGCTAAATACAGCATTGGATAGTGTGAAGAGCAATGGTGAATTTCAGTATTGCCTTATTATACCCTTCACCATAATATGGAGGGTAAATTAAGTTTGTCATTCCGTTTGTAAAACCTCGAAATATACATCAGCAGCATGATCAGCATAAAATTCAATGTCGATTTAGGAATCCCCGTCCGTCTCTTCGTTTGTGGAAATCACTTTAGCTTCCGAACGAAATGAAGTAGGTTGATAAAATTGTACTCAAATTTGTATTATGTATGCACGACTTTTGGTATTGAAAATGGGCCATGTAGGTCCACGTCTTCGTATAGCCCCCATATAACGGTACCCCCCGATATGCGGTATTTTGATGATTTTAGAGACATTATTTACCGAAACTATTTCAAATTTGGTATTTGAAGTTCGTAATGAATACTACAGCAAATGACAGAAAATTGTCTGTGCAGGTCAACGTCTTCGTATAGTCGCCATATAACGGTACCCCCCGATATTCGGTATTTTGATGATTTTAGAGACATTATTTACCGGAATTGTTTCAAAATTGGTATATAAATTCGTAAAAGATACTACAGCCTTTGACAGAAAATTGTCTGTGCAGGTCCATGTCTTCGTATAGCCCCATATAACGGTACTTCCCCATATTGGGTATTTTAATGATTTTAGAGACATTATTTACCGAAACTATTTCAAATTTGGTATTTAAAGTTCGTAATGAATACTGCGGCCTAGGACAGAAAATTGTCTATGCAGGTCCACGTCTTCATATAGCCCCTATATAATGGTGCCCCCCGATATTCGGTATTTTGATGATTTTGGCGACATTATTTACAGGAACTATTTGGTATTTGAAATTCGTAATGAATACTACAGCCTAAGACAGAAAATTGTCTGTGCAGGTCCACGTCTTCGTATAGCACCCATATAACGGTACCCCCCGATATTCGGCATTTTGATGATTTTAGCGACATTATTTACCGGAATTATTTCAAATTTTGTATTAGAAGTTCGTAGTGGATGCTACAGCTTATGCCAAAAAAAATTGTCTGTGCAGGCCCACGTTTTATAACCCCCATGGTACCTCCCTATACTCGTTATTTTGATGATTTTAGCTACATTATAAACAGATTTTTTTTCTAGTTTCGCATTTGAATATTGTACTAGCTTGTGACAAAGGTTGCAGGTCCACGTCGTCTTATAGACCCTAATATACGGCTACATTCGGTATTTTTAAGATTTTAACAGAATTTTAACGGTTTTTTTTTTTTTTTTTGAAAATTGCCAAATTTGTACCTATTGGTGGAGGGTAATCAAAGTTCGGCCCGGCCGAACTTACACCTTTTTACTTGTTTACAATAACAACCTTAGAGATGGATTCTAAAGGAAAAGGAGAGTGATTAGACTGGGGTTTTGTCTTGGACAAACGGAATAAACTGGAATTCTGGAATTTGGAATGGAAGTCACTAATGGAGTGCAGGATAGATGTACCAAAGGGTTTTTTAAAATCGAGTTTTAAGGTTATGAAAAGTTCCACAATCATACTAAACTGCTAACATGTTACCATTTAGTACTAGGTGAATGGAAACACTTGAAATTTCTAATGAGAATCAAGTCATTAAACAAAAATATGATTTTTGAGGGTGGTTCTGAAAATGTGCAGTAAGTGTGCGAACTGGTACTAAATTTGGGACAATTTGGTTTATGGTGAAAGGATTAAGCTAGAATTTTGAAATTTTGTATTGGAGTATCTGTTGGTGGTTAGTTTGTGAAAAAAGGTAGTCTTCGACAAGTACACTTGTGGACGAAAAGTACTATATTTGGTACAATTTGGTATTGATACAGAACAGATAGTGCTAAAAATCTGAAATTTGGTATTAGGATCGCTCTTCATGTGTAGCCAGGCTATATATAGGTGGTTTTGGAAATGTGTACTATAATTGTACGAAAACTACTGAATGGTACCATATTTGGTGTTGGGTGAAGGGAGAAAAAGAAAAACCCTAAAATATGATATTGAGATTACTATAGTATCTGTGTGTGAGATTTGGCGGTGGTTATGGAAATACGTCCCATATTTGTACGAAAAGTACTAAATGGTACTGAATTATTTGTTGGATGAAGTAATACGGCTGAAATCCTCATATTTTTTTCTGAGGTCTCCACTGGTATCTGGGATTGAGATATGGAGGTGGTTTAGGAAATTGTACGAAAAGTACCAAGTAGTACTAAATTTGGTATTTGGTGAAAGAAAAGATTTGAAATCCTAAAATTTGATATGAATGTCATTGTTGGTGTCTCTGGTTAAGAGAAGCTGCTGGTTTTGGATATGCGTACTATAATCCTACTAAATGGTGCTAAATTTGGTATTTGGTGAAAAAATAGAGCTGGAGTCCCCAAGGTGGTCTTGGAAATGTCCCACACTTGTTCTGAACTGAATGGTACTATATTTGGTGTTGGTTGAAGGTATAAAGATAAAACTATAAAATTTGATATTACGATTACTATGGTATCTATGTGTGAAATTTGGCAGTGGTTTGGAAATGCGTACCACATTTGTACGAAAAGTACTAAATGGCACTAAATTTATTGCTTCGTGAAGAAATAGGGCTGAAAGCCCCATATTTGATATTGGGGTTTTGAAAATTTGTGCTATAACTGAACGAATAGTACTATATTTGGTTTAAGGTGAAGTATTGGAGCTGAAATCCTGAATTTTGATATGAATGTCACATTTGGTGTCTCTGGTTGTAATTTTGTAATGCGTAAATGGTACAAAATTTGGTATTAGGTGAAGGGACACAGATAAAATTCAGAAATTTGATATTTATTTGATTTCATTTGGTAGTGGTTTGGAAATGCGACGTTTTTTTGTACGAAAATTACTAAATGGTACAATATTTGTTATTGGCTTAAGATAAAGGGCTGGAATCCTAAATTTGATATTGAGGTCTCTGTTAGCATCTGTGATTGAAATACGGAGATGGTTTCGGAAATGTGTACTATAAGTGCATGAAAAGTATTAAATAGTACTATATTTGGTACAATTTGGTATTGGGTGAAATTATATCAGCCCTAAATTACAAAATAGTACTAAATTTGGTATTGGGTTAAGAGATAGGGCTGGAATCCCCAAATTTGATATTTGGTCTCGGTTAATATCTGGAATTGATTTATGGGTGTGGTTTTGGAAATTCGTACTTTAACTGTATGAAAAGTACTAAATTTGGTATTTGGTGAAGGAATAGAGCTGAAATCCTGAAATTTGATATGGATTTCACTATTGGTGTCTGGGGTTATGATATGGAGGTTGTTTTGAAAATATGTACTAATGTTGTGGTCATTTGGTATTGGGTGAAGGGATAGAGATAAAACTTTGAAATTTGATATTTAGATTATCTGTGTTTCAGATTTGGTGGATATTTGTACGAAAAGTACTGAATAGTACTAAAAATTTATTGGGTGAAGGGAGAGAGTTGGAATCTCGAAATTTGATATTGATTATTGGTTTCTGGGATTGAGATATGTTGGTGGTTGAGAAATTCTTCCTATATTTGTACAATAAGTACTAAGTAGTTAAATTGGTATAGGGTGAAGGGAGTCCTCAAATTTCTCTTGGCACCTGGAATTGAGATATAGAGGTGGTTTTGGAAATTTAGTATTGAGGATAGACCTGGAATCCTGAAATTTGATATTGAGGTCTCTGTTGGATTCTAGGGTTTACATATTGAGACGTTGACATAGTTTACGATCGAAATATAAGATGTGGGTCTATTATGGCATGGTTTTTACTTCTATGCTTCACAGTAAATTTCAAAATGAAAGACTTTGAAGTCTTTAAGGTGTAAAAGAGTTAAAATTTTCATATTATCCGAAAGAGGAAAAATTTGTATAATGTATAAAACCTTGAAAGTCTGAAGTTTTGATTAAATAAGTTTGGCAAACAGAATGAATTGTGCATTTTCAGGACTAAAAAGGTCTCATAGGCTGTAGCATCCATTACGAACATCAAATACCAAATTTGAAACAATTCCGGTGAATAATGTCGCTAAAATCATCAAAATACCGAATATAGGGAGGTACCGTTATATGGGGGCTATACGAAGACGTGGACCTACACAGACAATTTTCTGTCTTAGGCTGTAGTATCCATTTCGAACTTCAAACACCAAATTTGAATCAATTCTGACGAATAAAGTCGCTTAAAATCATCGAAATACCGAATATCGGGAGGTATCGTTATATGGGGGCTATACCAAAACCTAGACCTACTTGGCCCATTTTCTATACCAGAAGTTCTGCAGACATAATATACATTTGGGTAAAATTTTATCAATCTACTTCATTTCGCTCGGAAGCTAGAGTGATTTCCACAGACGGACGGACATCGCTAAATCGACATAAGATTTTATGCTGATCAAGAATATAAATACTTTGTGGGGTCTAAAATGTATATTTCGAGGTATTACAAACGGAATGACAAATTTAATATACCCTCCATACTATGGTGAAAGGTATAAAAATACATATTAGTCAACCTCGCACGTTTGGATTTTTGTCCAATTAGACAAACGCTCACTTAAACGGATGTGGACGACGTTAGCCCTTTCTTACTTTTTTTAGTATGCTTATTATCAAAATATGACTTCTTTTTTACCATTTTCCATCGCCTTCACTTTTCATAGAATTTTCCTTACCTTTCATAACCAACGAACACACCTTTTCCCCACAAAGGTTACGTTTTAAATCTAACATTTCTTCTGACTTACCATTTATAATTCTTGTCAGCTTATTGCGGCGGGTGGACGATGGACTTAGTAAACTCTCACGCCGATTATTGGCACTGGTGGTGATGCCAACCATGGCACCACCAACACCAATATTACCACTACTCCCAAGCCCAGCACCTGATGTCATGCCACAACTCCCTGCACCACCACCGCCACTGCCACCCACACACAGCTCATTGATATTCAATTGGGCACTTTGTGACGAAGCACTGCAATTGCTGTACAAACTGCTGGCCGAGGGACGCTTGCTGAAGGGTGCCACCACGGGTCGGGGTATTTCCAGCGATGGTCGTGGCGAATCGCTCCACACCACTTCGGCAAAGGAATCAATGCTAGCGGAACGTTGTAGAGCACTGCTGTCCTTGCGCCTGCAACGAATGATATGGAAATTGAAAAAATTCGAAATCGTAAGAAATTATATTCAGCGTAAGTAGTCTCAAGTTGAGATTGGAAATAGAAAACAGAAAAAAAAAAATAAATGTAATCATAGAGAGAATTGTGTAAATATTTATTTATTGACTGACTGAGTGGCTGCCTGCCTGGCTGAATGACTGATTTTGTGGTGATAGGCTTGTTTGTGTTAGGTTAGTAAATATTCGGTGTGGGTGTGGGGTGCTACTACTCTGCAATGCAAATGTTTTGATGGGGAAATTTACATTCACTGATTTGATTGTTACGAATGAAATAAATATTGTATTTTTTTAGTTCAAAGAAATTAAGTTAATTTGAAATTATGTTATTTAAATGAAATTAAATTTAATTAATGAAATCTCAATAAAAATAAGCATTAAAGGGAAATGGCTTTAAAAATGTGGTAAAATTGATAAAAAAAAAACCATGGGTAATGCACTTGAAATTCCAGAAAGTACAAGAACTTACACCGCATCAGAAAGAAAATAGACTCAAAAGAGCTAAAGAGTTTCTTCTCTTGGCCTAAAGTGGTGAACTGCCGAATTTGGTTATCTCCGATAAGAAAACATTCGTTATCCAGCAGTTTGTAAACAAACAAAATGATCGTGTTTACTTGCCAAAGAGGTCAGCTGAAAATGTGCACCTTCGGTTAGCCAGTAGAACTCAAGCGCCGGTCATGGCGATGGCGTGGGCCGCCATAATAGCCGATGGTCGCTCTCCGCTTGTATTAATCGACCGTGACATCAGAATAAATGTTGAATATTATCTCGAACATTTTCTGGAGGGTGTTAAAGCATTTCGGCCGCAGACCGTGGACATTCAAACAGGACTGAGAACCATCGCACGCAGCACGCGCCACCCAAGAATGGTTACAAAATAAGGTTCTTCGCTTCAATTCCAGCGCACAATGGTCACCAAAATCTCCGGATACCAATCCGTTGGACTATTGTGTCTGCAGTATTTTGGAAAGCAAGGTTGGCACTGAGAAATACCAAAGTGTCGATCACCTCAAGCAAGCGCTTCGCCCGAAATGGGCCAAAATACCGCAGTGCAACATTCGGGCAGCGTGTGACGGTTTCATTAGCCGTTCGAAGGCCATAATTCGTGACAAAGGTGACCAATTCGAACAAATCTAGACTTATTCTAAAGTTGATGCTATTTCTGACATTTTTTGCGACCATTTAATAAAGTTTTTTTTAAAAAAAAATTAAAAATTATGTCTTTTGACTTTGTTGAATTTTTTCATCTCACCCTGTAGATTTTAGACCCAACAAAGTATATATATTCTTGATCAGCATAAAATTTTGTGTCGATATAGCGATGTCCGTCCATCTGTCCGTCTGCAGAAATAACTCTAGCTTCCGAGCGAAAGGAAGTAGGTTGATAAAATTTTACTCAAATGTATATTATGTCTGCAGGTCTTTTGGTATTGAAAATGGGCCATATAGGTCGACGTTTTGGTATAGCCCCCATATAATGGTACCTCCCTATTTTCGGTATTTTGGCAATTTACGCGACATTATTCACCGGAATTGTCTCAAATTTGGTATTTGAAGTTCGTAATTGATACTACAGCCTAAGAGAGAAAATTGTCCGTTCAGGTCCACGCCATCGTATAGAACCCAATATAACGTCACCTCCCGATATTCGGCATTTTGATGATTTTAGCGACACTATTAACCGGAAATGTTTCTAATTTGTCATTTGAAGTTCGCAATGGATACTACAACCTATACAGAAAATTGTCTGTGCATAAAACGGTATTAGGTATTTTGACGATTTTAACGATATTATGCACTGCAATTGTTTCGAATGTGGTATTTGAAGTTCGGAATGGATATTACAGCCTACGACAGAAAATTGTCTGTACAGGTCCATATTTTGGTATAGCCCCCATTAACGGTACCTCCCGATATTCGGCATTTTGATGATTTTAGCGAAGCTATTCACCGGAATTGTTTTTAATTTGGTATTTTAAGTTTGTAAGGGATACTACAGCATAAAGCTGAAAATGGCCCATGTAAGTCCACGTCTTCGTATAGCCCCATATAACGGTACCTCCCGATATTGGGTATTTTGAAGATTTTAGAGACATTATTTGAAGGAACTATTTCAAATTTGGTATTTGAATTTTGTAATGATTACTTCAGCCTATGACAGAAAATTGTCTGTGCAGGACTACGTTTTGGTATAGCACCCATATGACGGTGCCTCTCGATTTTTGGTATTTTCATGATTTTAGCCACATTGTTCACCAGAATTATTTCAAATTTCGTATTGGAAGATCTTAGTGGATACTACAACCTCTGGCAAAAAATTTCGCATGCAGGTCTATTTCCTCGTATAGCACCCATATGACGGTACCTCCCGATACTGGGTATTTTCATGATTTTAGCGACATTATTCACGGGAACTGTTTCAAATTTCGTATTTGAAGTTTGTAAGGGGTACTACAGCCTATGACAAAACAATTTCGTAAGCAGATCCACATCTTTGTATAGTCCCGATATAACGATTTTCATTTAAGTGGTATTTATCGGATTTTATTTTTAATTTTTTTTTTAATTTTTCAAGTTCCTTCCAAATGGTGGAGGGGGTACCTTCCAAAAGAACTTCTTCTTTTTAACTTGTTAGAATATAAATTTCAAATGTAAATTTCGTAGAAACGCACTGTGCCTTGATGCATAGTTTATTCTGAGACTTATAGTAAAATTTGGTGTAGATTATTATCTCCTTTGAGACTTTCTGTCTAGAACGAAGTTCTATGTAAATTTTTTTTGTATAAACTCGAAAAGGACCGGAGATAAAACCATCACGAAATTAGGAAATATTTTCGTGTTTCCTTTTTTTTGGTGACTTATAGTGAAATTTTATGAAGAATAATTCGTTTTTGATGTTGTCCTTTTAAAATGAATTTTACATAAATGGATTTCAATATAAATTTATGTCTTTCGGGTAATATTCTGAGACCCATAATAGAAAATTTGTGAAAATAATTTTGTAGAATATTTTGACTCATAAAGATCACATTTAAAAGTCAATTTAAACAATTAAAAAAGCAGTAAGTTCGGCCGGGCCGAACTTTTAATACCCTCCACCATTTGCAACGAATTTGTAATTTTTATACCCTCCACCTTGGAAAGGAGGGTATATTAACTTTGTCATTCCGTTTGTAACATCCCTAAATATTCGTTTTAGACCCCATAAAGTATATATATTCATAATCAGCATAAAATTCTAAGTCGATTTAACGATGTCCGTCTGTCTGTCTGTCCGTCTGTCTGTCTGTCTGTCTGTCTGTCTGTTGAAATCACGATACAGCCCACATTATTTGACGTAGAACTCCAAAATTTAGCAGAGCTATTTGCATTGTGTCTAGGATGGTTGGTATTGAAAATGAGATATATCGGTCCACGTTCTGGTATAGTCCCCATATAACGGTACCTCCCGATATTCGGTATTTTGATGATTTATGCCACATTTTTTCACGGATTTGTCTTAAAATTGGTATTTGTAGGTCATAGCGGGTCCCTGAGCGTGTGGCAAAACATTGCATGTATAGGTCCACGTTGTGGTATAGCCCCCATATAAAGGTACCTCCCGATATTTAGTATTTTAGTTTTTTTTTACCACATTTTTTCAACGATTTGTCTAAAAATTGGTATTTATGGGTCATAATGGTTTCCAGCTCCGGTGGCGGAACATTGCATGTATGGGTCCATAATTTGGTATAGTCCCCATATAACGGTACCTCCCGATATTCGGTATTTTGATGATTTATGCCACATTTTTTCACAGATTTGTCTTAAAATTGGTATTTGTAGGTCATAGCGGGTCCCTGAGCGTGTGGCAAAACATTGCATGTATAGGTCCACGTTGTGGTATAGCCCCCATATAAAGGTACCTCCCGATATTTAGTATTTTAATTTTTTTTACCACATTTTTTCACGGATTTGTCTGAAAATCGGTATTTGTTGGTCATAATGGGTTCCAGCTCCGGTGGCGAAACATTGTAATTATAGGTCCACGTTTTGGTATAGCCCCCATATAACGGTACCTCCCGATATTCGGTAATTTGATGATTTTTGCCACATTTTTTCAGGGATTTGTTCGTAAATTGGTATTTGTTGGTCATAATTGGTTCCAGCTTCGGTGGCGAAACATTGCATGCATGGGTCCATGATTTGATATAGCCCCCATATAACGGTACCTCCCGATATTCGGTATTTTGATGGTTTTTGCCACATTTTTTCATTGATTTGTCTAAAAATTTGTATTTGTGGGTCATAATGGGTTCCAGCTCCGGTGGCGAAACATTGTAATTATAGGTCCACGTTTTGGTATAGCCCCCATATAACGGTACCTCCCCATAATCGGCATTTTAATGGTTTTTGCCACATTTCTTCTAATGTTTCTTTTACCCTAAGGTGGAGGGTATTAAAAGTTTGGCCCGGCCGAACTTAATGTTTTTTTACTTGTTTAAAAAATAAAATCCTCAAAAAATTCTGTTAAAATTTTAAAAATACCGAATATAGCCGTTATATTGGGGTCTACACGACGTGGACATACATAGGCATTGTTGCCATAAGCCATTACCATATTCAAATTCGAAACTTGAAATAAACAGTAGCTAAAATCATCAAAATATCGTATATAAGGAGGTGCCGTTAAATTGGAGCTGTGCGAAGATCTGGACGAGCATAGACAATTTTCTGTCACAGGCTATAGCATCCATTACGAACTTCAAATACCACATCTCAAACAAATTTGGTGGGTATTGTACCTAAAATCGTCAAAATACCGAATATAGGGAGGTACTGATATATGGGGCCTATACGAAGACCTGGACCCGCACAGACAATTTTCTGTCACAGACTGTAGTTCCCATAACGAACTTCAAATATCAATTTTGAAACAATTCCGGTGAATAATGTCGCTAAAATCATCAAAATATCGA